CATGGAAAAAGGAAACAAGTGATTCATTAGATGAAAGCAGCTCTGTGCATTCTTCCATGGAAAAATTTTCTGGCAAAATTCATGTAATCTCAGTTCTTTCAGTTTTTACTTTGATCAGCATAGGTTCACATTACACGACATAGATTCCTAATTTATTAGGAAAACTCAACAGAATGGATTCGGGCTTATGCATGCTGGGATGCTTGGTCCTGACAGGATTTGCCATACACTCCACAATGCCACATATGAAAGAATGCAACCTGTTTTATTTATTTAACAGCTCTCTAACAGCATCTTCTGAAGACATACACTAAATATTTCTAGTGAGGAAAAAAAAAAAAAAAAAAAGGAAAGAACATTAAGAAATTAACAGTATCCATGGAATAAGAGAGTCATGAGAAACACTGCAACACAGATTCATCCAGCATTTTTAATACTTCTAGTCCGATCCTCTTTTTTTTTTTTTATTATTTACTTTGAGAAGAAATGGCATAAAAAAGGAACAATATATTCAAAACAAGAAGAATAAACTTTATTATAAGACTGGGCGAACTCAGTTGTGCTGCATAGTTAAGGGTCTTTCTTTTGACTTCAGACGTGGCTTCTTTGGGATTAGTCTGTGTGAGAACTGAGTTGGTCTCCTGCATCTCCTGACAACTTGGTACTATGCTGTTTGTTTGATTGTAGTAGCCAAGCAGACTCCAGCACATTCTATTTTCTTTTTCTCCTAGATGTAGCAAGGCAGAAGCCACTGATGTGTCAATAAATATTACATTAAGAAATGTTCTCCTCATACAAAGTCAGGAGAGAGACAGAGGTTTCTATTGAAAGTCCTTTGGAGGAGTGCAATTTAATGCCTCGCTGGTGCAAATTGTTGCTTATCCACCCATCCCAGTATTCTTGGCAAAGACATTTGGCAGCGGGGCTGCCGAACTCACTGGAGCCATGGCAACTTAGCTGAGATCTACCCCAAGAGACCCACTGGGTCAGATTTGTCCTCCGGGCTGTGTCTCTTAACTCCATAAAGGACTTGAACAAATAATTTCATTTCTTTTGCTTCAGTTTCCATGAATGTGAATAGTTTCTGGTGACATTCATCAGTCTCACAATTTGTCAGGCATAAGTAAACCTGCTGGAGAGTATAGCATTAAACAGCTGTATAGATACGTGATGGAAACACAGAGGGGGCAAGACTTCTGGTGAATAATAGGCTGTTGGAAAAACAAAAACAAAGCGAGACAGTAGTCCAGATAAAGAACAGTATCAGAAACTGAGCTCCCAGTTTTGAAGAGTCAGCTTCATCTCTGCCGTCATAACACAGCTACCTTGCCAAGTATCTGAGACTGGAAATTCAAAGAAGGTTTGCAAAATAAGTCTTATCTTTCCCAGGTAAGAACAGGTTCTTTCTTCAGTAGAATTTAAGAAATTTTGTCAAGTGAGGTAAAGCGTTATGTAATATCCGTTTCATTTCTGTTGTGCTACCCGTATTTTTTTTCTGACAGAAATGCTTTTTAGATTAATATTTAACGCCCTTGCTTTTAAGAAAGCATCTTTGAATCACTTCCATCTGCTGCTGACTTCAGGTTCCTGGGAGAGGAGGAGCTGCATAAGCTGAATACTAGTGTGCTGTCAGATACCATGACTGGAAAGGGAAGGTGCAGCTCAGGAATACCAGCTCAGCGTGGCAGAAATACACATTTTCCCTTAGAATTGGGCAGAAGATAGCACGGCCTGTCACCTGAGAGCGTCTGCAAGAGAAACTGCTGAGGAGCATGTCACTTGGTGTCCGAGGGAAAACAGCACAGGCATGGCACGCTTCTGCGAGGAGGCAGAGCCCTTTGAGTCTTCAGATGAATTGTAGTACACGGCATGATTTTTGCTACAGAGTTAATACTTTTTCTCATGCTTAATCTTTTTTTTTTTTTTTTTTTTTTTTTAGCAGCGAAGCAATTAAAATATTCATTCAGCATATTGTGCTTTAAAAATAAAATTCACAAAGATCGGCAGGCATGTTTTCATTCTGTCGTTCCTGATATTACTCATCACACCAGAACAACTTATGTATTTTTTAAGCGTGTTCTTTCTTCTATCAGACCTTGTTTCTTTTCAGAGGTTGAAGTGTGAAGCTCAGTGGTTGATTCACCTTTTGTAGGACGGATGCATACCTTTTCGTTTCTAGTGTGTTTCAGTAAGTTTCATCTATTTTGTCATGTAGATGGCTCTTCATGTAGTATGCTAGGTTTTGAAAATCTGCTTAGTGGGGGAGGCAAATGTATTTTAATCTGAAGATTAAATGGTGATGAATTGTAAAAAGAAGCAAACAAGCAAGCCTCACCCTCCACCCCTTCAGATAACTGTGGTAAATTTTTTCTGACTTGGAAAGGAGCAAACGATTTTATTGCAAGTCATCTATCTTCTTCACATGGGTGAAGTTTGACCAGTGAGTTGTGTTGCAACACCTTTTCTCATCGGTCTGTTTTTCTGGTTTCTAAACTGAAAGTTGTCATGGTTTCTCTGAGCAATAGAAGAAAGGACTCTCAAAAAAATTAATGAACTCTTCTGCCTGAAGCTGGTATATTTTACCAATGTCCATTCACATCTCTGCACTCTCCACGTAGCGCTAGTTGCCGTAGTCTTCCAGGTGACCTGCATATTGCTCAGAAAGTTGAACACAATATACTTGATATAATGCCAATTTAAGGGAAAATATCTTAGTTTATTTTTAAACAGTATCACTTTGGCATTTAGCCCAAATCTGTGTTATAACTGTATAGACATTAAAACAGTTTAATAGTGTAACATCTCAGTATATACACTTTTTAATTACAAAACTGCTTTATTACTGGGTCTTCCTGTTATTACAAAACCAGAAATATGCCAGATAAGATGGTAGAAGAAAGAGAGTTCTGTTTTATCAGTGAGTAATTTTGTATAGCTCGATTTTGGAACCTCAAAGGCTGAATCATTTTTCAGTCTTCATCTGCAGTGAGTCATAGAATCATAGAATCGGTTAGGCTGGAAAAGACCTTTAAGATCATCGAGCCCAACTGTAAACCTAGCGCTGCCAAGTTCCACTAAACCGTGTCCCTAAGCGCCACATCTACACGTCTTTTAAATACCTCCAGGGATGGTGACTCAGCCACTTCCCTGGGCAGCCTGTTCCACTGCTTGACAGCCCTTTTGGTGAAGAAATTTTTCCTGATATCCAATCTAAACGTCACCTGGCACAGCTTGAGACCATTTCCTCTTCTTCTGTTGCTTGCTACTAGGGAGAAGAGACCAACGCCCACCTTGCTACAACCTCCTTTCAGGTAGTGGTAGAGCAATAAGGTGTCCCCTCAGCTTCCTTTTCTCCAGGCTAAACAACCCTAGTTCCCTCAGAGGACTTGTCCTCTAGACCCTTCACCGGTTTCGTTGCCCTTCTCTGACACCTCCATGTCTTTCTTGTAGCGAGGGGCCCAAAACTGAACACGGTATTGGAGGTGCAGCCTCACCAGGGCTGAGTACAGGGGGACGATCACTTCCCTAGTCCTGCTGGCCACACTATTTCTGATACAAGCCAGGATTCTGTTGGCCTTCTTGGCCACCTGGGCCCACTGCCAGCTCCTATTCGGCCGGCTGTTGACCAACACCCCCAGGTCTTTTTCCGCCAAGCAGCTTTCCAGCCCTACTTCCCCAAGCCTGTAGCATTGTGTGGAGTTGTTCTGACCCAAATGCAGGACTCAGCACTGAGCCTTGTTGAAGCTTCTGGTAGATTCATGAAATGCTATATATCAGTTGTACTTCAATATTTTGAAGTTAGTAGATAAAGCATGGATTTCTAATACATTTTAGCGTGTTTTGTTTAACCATTTCCTACTCCCAAGCTTCCCCTGTGCAAAGAGTCCCAAGAACTTTTTCAGCATAAACTCTGATTCTAAAATTAATATTTCGCCTTTCACTGTAGTTTTGAAAACACTCTCTAATTGTCTCTGATTTACTGTATTAGGCAAAATATTACTAGGGGTAGTAAAGCGGCCAGCCGAAGTCCCTGACTTGCTTTGCGCCTTAGCCAACAACACAGATGGAGAAACTTTTTGACAGAGATGTCTGTATAACTAACTTGAAGTCAAAGCATTTTACTCCTTGGGTGTTAGTTATGAATCAATCTAGTTTCTTAAAATTAGATCCAGGGCTGGTTACTGTTTGAGGAGCAAATAGTGCCAGAGAAGAGTAAAGATGGATCTGATGCAAACAGCTTTTCTAATAAATTGTTGTTGGTATTCTTGACCTTCTTGATCATCTACCTCAAACATTTCTGTGCTTTTTCTATAATTATATTTTATAAAAGATATTGCACTAGAAAATTATTTTGTAGGCCACCATAGGAATGAACAAGGCTTCTGTTCCTGCATCACTTAAGGGTCTCCCTCAATCATAACAGAACAAGCTTTCCATGATTTATCAGTCATCCTTGTCTTTGTGTTTGCACAGACTTCCTCCTTTTCCTTTCATGTTTTCTTTTCCCGATTTTGTTGATACAGCATCAATCACAGAGACTACAATAGCTGCTTATATTCCCAGTAATTAAGTGTAAAAGGAGGGACTCCTAAAAACTTTGTTATATTAAGTGCTTTTTTTTTTCTTTGCTGTAGTCTTGCAGTTTTTTTCCCTCTAGCGTGTGATGTGTTACACTCCGAAGCAAATGACATTTCTCCAGCACAGGAGAAACTCTTGTCAAGGCAAACCTTGCTGAACCTTGAGAAATCTTGATGAGACTAACACTCTTGACTAACTTTTGGCTGCTTATACAGAGCTTTGGGTTTATCACTGTACAGTTGTTGCCACTGAAGAAATCATATGAGGAGTCAAAGCGGTGTAACATAGCAGCTTTGCAGGGCTACCAGCATACCTTTGCTGGCACACAGCCTGCATAAAGCACAGCTTTATTACATTGGATAGCATATATAATATTGCTGTTCATTCCCTAATTTTATGATTGTCCCTTTGGGCTGTTTCAGATAAGAAGACAAGGCGGAATACAGTTACTGGTGGACCTATTGGACCATCGAATGACAGAAGTCCACCGTAGTGCCTGTGGAGCTTTGAGAAACTTGGTATATGGGAAGGCAAATGATGACAACAAAATTGCTCTGAAAAACTGTGGTGGTATCCCAGCATTAGTACGGTTACTCCGCAAGACTACAGATTTGGAAATCAGAGAACTCGTCACAGGTTTGAATCTTTCAGTATTTTTTTGTTCAAACTCTACATAGGCCCTGCAAGCACAGTTCTGTGCTGCGTGTTGTTTGCTCCATCAATAACTCTCTATTTTATTACCATCTTCTTTACCATGACAAAACACTTCCAAGCCTTTTGGATATCTGTAATGTATAAATAGGTTTATTCAATATCACACAGACAGTTTACATCAGTTACGCTTACAGTTGCTGGTCACTTTGTTCTTGGTTAGCCATGAATGCTCTTGTGGAGGATGCGCTCCATGCAGAAATAGGTTGTGGTGGGAATCCTCTTCTCTCCTCTCCCCTCCCTCCTGCCTGGTGTAGGGCTGCACATGCAGAAGTCAGGCTTTACTGAATTTTCTTAGAGGCTGTTACTCATTTCTTTTATATAAGTGAGAAGGAGGATGTGGGGGTTTTTTACCTTTCTTGCCATTCTGATAGGAAAATGGAAAAGCATGTTGGAGAGACAGACATCATCTTCTGAAGCCTTTTTTCTGAAATTTGATAACATGCTATGTGATGTATATTAGAGGGCATGCAGATACTGGTAGAGTCTATTTCTTTTCTTGATATAGTAGAATCTGATCTTTTCAAGATCGTTTGGACTTTTTACATTATGAAAATCAAGGGGGTGTGAGCATGTCAGAAATACAGAAATGCTGTCAAACAGCACCAATCTGCAATGTTTGGAGATTTTTTTCCCCCCGCCCCTGAGCTATACTATTTAAAACGCAAAACAGAAGCTAGATGATGGGGTTTTTTGATTTTTCACTTTGTGATTTCATTCTATTTGATTGCTAGTATCAATGTGGTGGTTAATTTAATGTTACAAATAAAAAATCTTAAGATCTTTTCATTATCCTATTTTACAGTGCCTGTATTTCCATTATGAATTTTCTACTAAAATACGTAAGAAAATTTCACATTTCTGTCATAAAAGTGTCAGAATACATGCTATCATCTATGCTTCTGAAGAAATTACTTATCCTTGTGGATCAGGCCTCATTTAGGATACAACTGATAAGATTATTGTCCTTTGGTTGACTCCAGGTTCCTTCCTTGAGGGTGTCTGAGTAAACTTCATGGTGGTTGTTAAATGTAGATTTTTATATTTCATTTTGGTTTTAGTTGCAACACCTATCAACTTGTACTTGTTAGGCAGGATTAATGGGGCAGAGGTACTGGGTAACACAAGCTTGGATGGTGCCTCCTGCAGAGTGACAGAATTACTGACAGATCTAATAAAGTGTAACCACTGCTTTGGATTCAACGTACTTGTTTGTCTCTTGGTTATGTTGTCTGTGTCCTGGCTCCAGGGAACAATCTGCCTATTTATTCCGAGTAGTAAGTGGCAAACTGCTAATGAACATCAGCAGTACACCTCGGCAGTCGCAGTGGCACTGACTGTAGACAGAACTCATAATGTCCTTAGGTCATTTAAAGAAAAGATACTAGGCTACAATTTACATTCCTTCCATTACACAGTATGTTGTTAAATATTCCTAAATTCCCACTATAAGAAAGGATGTATGTGCTAGCATGCCCTCAAGCAGTTGCTGCTGAGAAGAGGAGGTACTGAGCATCAATGGTAGGCAGTAGCCAGCCGCTCTACGGGCAGATGCAGCTCTCAGGGATGGTGAGCATCAGGAGTGCTGGCCATCTGTGAAAGGGGAGCTGGGAGGAATGGAATCAAAGTCAGTGGTATTGCAAGATTTTATTCCTGGGCCTGGTTTTATAGCTTTTCTTTTGCTTTGTTTTTAATAGCCAGCACATCTCAGAAGGACGCTGCTTGCCCTGGCCGGGTTTTGTGCCTCTCAGAACGCAGATTTGAAAATGCCAACCTGGTAGTGGTAGTGTTCTGCAAAGCTCCTTTCCCAAGCAAGGCTCAGAGCTGCACCTCATCTTACATCTCTTAGGAAACAGGCTGCAATCGCGCATCTGAATCAGTTCTCATTTGCTTTTTTCGTAAAGTGTTGTAGAGTGGCAGCTACCCGAGTCAAATTCCTTCCCTCTGTCCTTTCTAGGGAAGGAAAAAAGGCTTCTGCAGCGGCTGCCCCAGTAATGAAAAAACTTGGCCTGGTGGTGGGCACAAGGGAAAATAAAAGAAGTTCCTTCTGCTTCCCATCAGCCTTCCTGAGTTGAGGTGGCAAGATGATAATTGGTCCAGTAGTGCCACCGTAGCCTGAGGGAAGTACAGAGAAAATAATAGCAAATGTGTGTCTTAGGAGGAAACATGATACCTTGAGCCTTTCTATCTCATGTTCATCGAGCGTCCTCTCTACATAAAAGCTGTTCTTGTTTGTTAGTTTTAGCCAGGGCGAGAAGTTCCTGCCTTAGGAATTCATATAGGCTCTGTCATCGCCACCCCTAAATACTCCTCCAGCATTCGTCCTCAGAGTGCTTCTCTTAGGAGGGGAAGCGTCGTTATCTCGGTTGTACAGATGGGGCACTCAGCCTATCGAGTCTAAATGACCTGTCCAGGAATCTGGCAAGACGAAGGTGGGAATCAGTCTGAGTAGGCACTCAGCTGCAAGGGAAGAAATACGGGCAGGAGAGGTTCATAGCAGCTCAGTTTGTCCGACCAATAGCGAAGCTTTCATCGCCTGCCCCAAGTACCGTGAAGCACACGCCCACCAGAGCCAGTTACGATATTAGCTCCTTCCCCAAACATGCACATTTTCTTCCTTCACGTTGCTTCTTTCTAAGGAGATTATAATTTCAATTTCCAGCTATCTCAAGACCGGTTTTGGAAGGGTATTTAAACCTGCAGACCAGCTTTCTATCCCAGTAGCTCCTTGCTTGTCAGGATTGCCTCCGGTGCCATTTGTGGTTTTCCCTCTTTTCCAGAGATTTCTTTCTGCCATAATCTCTCCAAGATGTTTTTTGCTTCTTCCTTTGTCTCGTCTTGCTCTTCCTCAGTAACAGAGGTCTCAGGCTAATTCACTGTGCTCAAATTTTTGGATTGCACAAACTGAACCTTATTGCAAAGTGATAGAGCTTCAACGCTTTCTCACACGGAGCAAATGGCTTTGGTGCAGGCTCCCACGTGAAAACCGTGGGGGAAACGTGCTGCCTGGTTGTTGTGAAATTAAATGGTGTCAATGCCCAGGAAATACTTCCTAAGATACTGAAAGATTGCTCTTCCAGAAACACTTCCACGGTGGTCACTGTTTTTTACTAGAAGAATCTGGATAAACTGAGGTATACAAATGAACATGCTACATTTATGCAGAAGTTAAATACTCTGATAGAAATAGAGATTTCTTCATGGCCTATAGGCTCTGGTAATTCCCAGAGACTAAAGAAGAACCTGAATTACAGTATCTTGTTTCATGTAGGTCTGTAAATGAAAAGAAATAGGTATAAGCTGAGTGCACCCTACTTAATTTAGCCATCTTTCCACCCCAGCGCTGTGCTACTAGTTTCCACAATAGCTCCTGTTAATGAGAACAAATAAAAGCCTTCTATTTTAAAATAATGAAATGTTAACACTTTCCTAAGAAATATATATAGATGAGAACAGAGTACAAAATTAGCGCAGATCCTGCAGATGGAAGAGAAAAATGTTTTAACTTGTTAATAATAATAATGAGTAGCTGATTTCTGATTGTCTTGCCTTTCCTGAGTTAATTATGAACCCTTACACAAAATTCTATTTTAGGATTCTTTCTATTTGTTTTTCTGTCAGGAGAAAAAAAAAAAAAAAAAAAAAAAAAAAGACATGAAAAATTTGAAGTGTTAGCAAGGATAGGACAGGAATCCCGTTGGGGCCTTGTGGAGAAGACGAGGTCAAGCAGCTGTTGCTAGATTCAACCTACGCTTGCTCCTTGTCCCATCAGCTCCATCTCATAACTGGGTACCTGTCTCAGACAAAATTATTTAAACTGCTGTTCTTCTCGTTTTGGCAAACAAAGTCCATCACAACTAGAAACGCAGTTTCTGCCTATGAACAAGCAGCTAACCGAATGAGAAACAACGTCATTTAAAGAGGCCCCTTAAATGACTGTATCACTTGTTTTCAAACTGTATATACCAGATTTGATTGAAAGGTAAAAGTGGATCATCTACTTTTAGAAAGCACGTGATGATAAGGAAATATAGCTATAAATAATGACAGGGAAAACTGTTTTTTCCTATGCTGGCAGCCGGCCTGCTGCTTGTTTTGGGCGACATTAAGGTGTCAGAGATTTAACTATTGTCTCTTGAAAATATATAAATTCTGAAAATTATCACATTTACAAAAAATAATTTTTCAAAAAGCATAAACTATTTAATGCTATACACATATACTATACGTAGATAGATAGATGTAGACCCTGTATATTCCATTCACATTTTTATTCACTGACTCAAAAAGCAGGTGCTCCATTCCAGCAAAAATTAGAAGATGTTTTGTGCATAACGTTCCTTTCAAAGAAGCACTAGTTGTCCGAGTGTATTTGGCCCACAGTCAGGTCGGACAGAGAAAATGTTCATTTACTTCTCAAATTCCAGTATTCATTAGTGTGGTCTTTGATTTCAGGTGTGGCCAGTTTGTATTTTGGCTTGGTTGGTCCTCTGTTGTCACCCCATGTTACGCGACGTTATTTACGTAGTTGTTTTACATTTCTGTTCGGTTTTTAATAGACGCCACATGTTTATCATGAGGTATTTATAACCTTATTGATAGTCTGTCAGTGTTACTGAAAGCAATTATATGTTGACTTCCTTAAATCTTAACTGGTTTGAGGTAACTGCTACAGTTTGAACCTCCTTTTGATCGCACACTGCTTATTAGTATGTGCATAAATTGTTAGCAGGTTGGTCGAGACGTTCCAGAAGGTCCCTTTGAGCCTGGCGCGTGTCTTTGCTAATCAGTGCAATTGCAAGTTAGTGAGCCTGAAGTGATGGGTAAAGCAGGTTTAAGGGAGTATTCTACTTAAGTGGACCTTTTGGCTTAATTCGGTGGAAGTTCTATTATGGTTTTATTTTGGGGGGTAATTCTGAGCAGGT